ATATTTTATTCATTAAACTCAACAAAAAATGATATTTTAGACATTTTATTTATGCCTACATTGAGTTTAATGGCTAAAATGCTTTTTCTGTTGATTTTATTTAACAAAAATAAACAAATGATTTAAATTTAAAAAATTTAATTGATAAAATAAAAAAATTATTTACTTCAAAAGGTCAAATCATATATATATATATACATATATATATTTTTTAATTTCTATCTAAAAAGAGGGGAGAGATGTATGGTTAGTGTTTTGAGATAAATTTTCAAAAAAAAAAATTGGGGAGAGAGTTTAGAAATTTTTTTGGTTTGTTTGGTTGTATATTTTGAAAATAGGTTTGGAGTTTGGGAGTTTGGGATGATTTAGGGTTCGTTTGGCATTGACTAATATAACCAACTTTTTTGTGTTGGGACTTTTTTAGCCTCGTTTGGTTTTTGTATTGGGGCTTTTTTCACTTTTGTGAGAGAAAAATTATAATGATTAGGAGTAAAAAATTGTATTTTGTCTTATTGACTTTTGTAGTCAATTTTGTCTTTTTGTGATTATTTAGCCTAAAAAAGAATGCCAAACCAAGGTTTAATATTTTGTTGTAATTGAGTAGATGTGTTGAAAGAAAAAGCGATTGAGAATGAGAGAGGAGAGAGGAGAAAGGAGAGAGAAAAAGTGATTGATTGATGTGTAATAGAGAGAGAACTAATTTGGAATTTTTTTTGAGAAAATTTGTAACCAAACATGTTTTTGGAAATTTTCTTCCATAAAGATATTTCAAAACACAAACCAAACACACTCGTAGTGAAAAATTCCCTTTCATTGGCTTGTATCTCAAATTAGTCCATAAGATATTTTTATATTCCAATAAGTCCTATTTATTTGGATTTATATTCCACTAAATCCTTTTTTCTATACTGGAGGTCTTTTGTGAATTATTTTACCCTTATAGATATTTTATCAAAGAAACCCACAATATATACTGTATATATATATATTTCCTGTACCACAACTTTCGACTGTAACATTAAACTCTCCACACCATCAAAGGAGAAGATGGAGACTCAGGTTCAAGGAAAAGATAGAAATTCTCATTCTCTCTCTCTCTCTCTCTCTCTCTCTCTCTCTCTAAATTAATGGAAACTCTCTCTCTTTCTCTTGAATGATTTTCTCCGAGAGTTTGAGAAATGAGTGTTGGGATTGTGAAAAATGAGATATCTGATAAAGTAATAGAAATTTCTTTGGAGAGAGAAGATGTGGGTTTGGTTTTATTTGGATTGGTGTAATGGTGAAATTGTGGAGGTTGATGATAGTGATGAAAATGAAGATGATGATGATGATAATGAGAAAGAGGAGGATGAAGACGATGAGGAGGATGTGGGTGATGATTTTTTTTATTTCTGGAGGGATTGAGATTTTTTAGAGTTTTTTGTTTGTTTCGGCCAATGCATTTGAGCTTGTAAAACTAGCTATTTGGTATCATATCTGATAATATGAACTTATGGTTACCCATCTCAAATACACACACACACTCTCTCTCTCTCTCTCTCTCTCTCATGTAGTCCTCTGTTTTGTAATAGAGAACACTTTGTTTTGCTTTAATGAAATAGACAAATGTGAATATTTACACACATTTATATTTGGCAGTAAGAATAAAGTGAACATTTACAGTTTTGAAATACACACGAACACATAACATAGTCATACCAATGTGAACATTCACGGATGGTAAAAGAAGACAAAAATGAAATGTTTGCAAAATATAAGCATATACATTAACATATTGTATACCAAATATGTGGTCCATAATGTGAATTAATATGAATTGATTATGATATTAATGTTCACATAAATTTGAATGTTCATATAATTGTGAATGGTCATACACATGCGGCTATGATATGAATGTTAAAGTTCGCATTAGGGTTAATGTGTTTCAATGTTAAACAAGATAATTATTCACTCAGTGTAAATGTTCACATTGCTATTAAACAAGGTTAATGTTCACATTTCTGTTAAAGAATGCTAATGTTAAAGTTCACATTGAACTAATTTATAAGCCCATACAACCATAATCCATGGTGTTCATGTGGACACGAGGATAATGTGAATGTTCACAATGCAAAATATGTGACAACATTCACATCCATATATATGAAGTATATATTTATGCACAATCAAAATATTGGTGTAAATATTAACATTAAGAATAAAACAATAAATAAGTAGATAAAAATGCCTACAATGGTTATGTGTACATAATTATAAAGTAATTGACGACATGTGAATATTTACATTGACTTTGTAATATCAAAAAATTTGACAACATACCAATGGAGAGGAGATGACTGGATGGGTATGTATGGGTTGGGTCTCTTGTTGAATCTTACCTTTTTTTGAGTTCTAAATAAGAAGAAACACTTCTAATATATATATATATATAAGCCAGAGGGCTTAGACACATAAAGAAGATTAAATACTTTGATGAAAATGGAAGAGAGAGAAAGGGGGTTGGGTGATGGTGTGAAGGATAAAAGAATGGAAGAAGAAGAGCACAAAGACGATGAGAGAGAGAGAAGGAGATAGAGTTACTGCCATGGGTAAGCCACACAATCTGTTTCTCATTTGTATTCTGATTTGATTGTTGCATATATATATATATATATATATTACAGTGAGGATGGTATATAAATAATTTGAGGGACAATGGTGTATGTTGTTGTATATTACAGTGAGGATCAAGGTTGATGAGCAAAGGAACAATGGTGGTAGATGGAAACGAAAGAGACAATAAATCCAAGAGACGCCTAAAAATGTTAGAATGGGTGTTATAGTTATGGGACTTCCTGAAATTTTGAGAAATAGAATGGGATATGTTTTCTTGTGGGTTGAGTGATGTGAGCCATGTAATCCCCTTTCTAAATTGTGGGTTGAGGGAAGAGAGTTCAAAAATTAATTCTCTACATTGTGGGTCGAGGAATGTGAGGTCTACAATGAATGTTTTTCTTACCTTTACTATATACTATATATTTTACATGCAGGTTAAGGGTGCTTACTATGTTAATACAAAGCTTGTGAGTTGTGGGTTGAGTGAAGTGAGGACAATATTGGAGTGGAGTGATATCATTATATGTGGGTTGAGTGTTGAGAGCTTCTATATTGTAACAATTAAAAAATTTAAGTTGTTCCTTAAATTTTATATTGATATTATTTAATTATAAATGATTTCAAAAACAATAATTTTAACTTTATATTATTATTCGAAATTATTTTCTAAGTATTATAATATTTTTATTATATTTTTCTTTATATTTTTCCTAAATCAAAATACAGAAATATAACTTTTTTTTGTGCGACAAAATACGTGCCCACCAAGTTATCGTGTTGCCCAAGCGTCTTGCTACCCACGGTTGTTCACTCTATATATATAGATGTGCCAATCAGAGAGCCTCATCACCAATTCCCTCCAAACTCTATAAAACTTTGAGTTTAGTTTGGAGCATCTAGTGAGTCACAGTGAACAAAATATAAAAGTTGGAATTAATATTAAGATGAGTTATATTATATCTTGAGTTATCGTTATATGTGTTACGTGTGTTTTGAGTTACCATAATTTATTTTACGTAATTTATATTTTATAAATTATATTAATATTTCGATTACGTTAATTATTTTCTAAACTCTATTTGTTTAAATTGAAACCCATGAATATAACTGTTTATTAAAATGTGTTTTGAGTAATTATTTTATACCACGGAGATCCCATGCTTTGGGAGATTTAAACACTACAAAAAAAAATACATTTTAGTGGCACTACACTAGTGAAATGTTTTTAAAAAATGTCACAAAAATAATATTTGGTGACACATTTTAGAAAAACGCCATAGAACCACAAACATATAAGGTTCTAGTGACATTTCAATAAAGAAATATCACATCAATTTTATAACATTTTATAAAAGAATGACACAAGAAATTGTTTTAATGACATTTATCAACAGATGCCACTAAACTTTAGTAGTAATGGCATTTTTTTAAAAATGTCACTAAACTAGATAGGTGCAAGTTACTTTTTATGGCATTAGGTAAAAAGTGTCATAAACAAATATTTTATAGCATTTTGAGAAATACCACTAAGCCAAAAACTTTCCAAGTTATCTAATGGCATTTTTTGAAAAAACAAAAAATGCCAATATATTTTCAAAATTTTTAAAATGCACAAAATAAATAAAAACAAATAAATTATTTGATCGATGGCTTTATATATCTTAATAGGAAAAATAAAATTTCAAATTGCTCTCCTGTACAATGATAAAATTTCTTGAATTTTAGTCCATGTAGTTTCAATTAACTCAATTTTAACTCTGAATTTACGGATTTACCTCAATTTATTTCAATTGCTTATAATTGTTGAGTAAATTACATCAATAATCCTTACATTTTGTTGTTCCATATAGTCTTAATTGACTCAATTTTGACACTTAATTTTAGATTTTATGTCAATTTAGTCGAATTGATAACATCTTTAGGGTCTTTAATAGAAAATTTTCATTAGATTGGTTAAGGTTAAGTCACTGAATTGATCAAGTGTTTTGTTTTACTCCTAAAACGATGACAGGTTGCATTTGTCATAGAAAATGCTATCAATTGAACTAAGTTGAGACAAAATAAAAAATTCAAAGTTAAAATCGATTCAATTGAAATTACAAAGACTAAAATGATATAATAGCCAAAATAGAGGGACTAATAGTGTAATTAGCCCTAATTGTTAGAATTTTTTATTGACAAATATGTATATAAGTGACATATGTCATTCTTTTAGAGACAAAATAATAAATTTGCTTGACTCGGTGAGTTAATCTCAATAAATTCAGTGATTAATTTTCATAAAAAAATACTAACAGTATTATTAATTAGACCATATTGATATAAAATTAAAAATAAAACATTACAATTGATTTCATTAAAAATATAAGGACCAAAATTAATATTTATTTTCTTAATTTAAAATATGACCAAACTTAATCCATTTTTCATGTCAGTAGGAAATAAGGAAACACAAGGAAACAAAGCAAAAGTGATGAAGCAAAATCCCTAGAGCAGATCGGGTTAGAGACAAAGAGGTGAAAGTCCAATCCAACCATTCTGAAATTGATGAAGCAAATTTGATTTGGGCGAGACAAAGAGGGAGGAGCCAAATAATGAAGCAAGGGTTTATCATTCTTCATCTTTTATACCATCCTTATCTACCATCCACAACACAAATTTGTTATGATTTCATCTTCTACGATCAGGGTTCATTAGGTATTTTTTCTCTATTTCTTACTCTCATCAAACACACACAACACCTCTATCTTTGCCACTTATTTATGATCTTCTTGTTTTAGGGATAAAATCTGAAAATCTAATCTTTTAACTCATGAATTTATTAATTTGCATCTTTTAATATAAAGGGTTAGTTGTGATTTACTATTATTGTATTTATGTTGTGATTTTATATAATGCCTTGCAAGTGTTTGTTTAAATGCTTCAGTGAGATTTTACATTATTTTGTTCTTTTTTTTTTTAAAACCCTTTTTCTGTTTTTAAGCATGAATAAGATGACAAAATAATACTAATATCTTTTTTTAACCCTTTTTCTGTTTGTAAGCATCAATAATGTTTATTATAATTTTGTTGCTTGATTCCAATATTGATCTGTTTGAATCCTTTTTGTGGCTATTATCCTCTTCTTTACATTGAATACCAAGCATTGCCTAATGTTGCATCTACGTTGGTGGAAAGAATGTTGATTAGGGTCTGTTTTCATGGCATGTCGATTTATGGGTGCACATAACATGCAAGACTATATACTACTTGCCATGAATCTTTGGATAAGACCAGGGATACCTTACTAAATCTGTAATGTGAAATCATATACACAATAAGAATCTGAACTCATTTTCTCAGGTGTAGACAATATATTAAGAGTCAACAAAATAAAACACACGGAAAAACTATCAAATTACATAACATACCATGTTCAAAAGGACTACAAAAACCGGAACACAAACATATTTATCTCATTTTACTGTCATCCCTCTAGGTAGTTCCAACAGCAAATGCTAAAACCTGTAACAGTAAATTTCAGGGGGAGTCCCTTTTATGATAATAAGTAAAAAGAAAAATACTTCCAATAGTAAACACAACTACTTCTAGAGGGAACCATTTTGAATCATATGGTCAAAAAGTGGAATCAAAAGTGATTCTAAATAAGAACTATGGTAAAGGATGTGGGTGGAACAGGGGAGGGTTTGGTAAAGTCTTTGAACCAAACCCCATTAAGGTAATCACTAGGAAAAAAAAGTTATTTAATTTTTAAACTTTATATATATATATAGAAAAAAAAAAAAACTTTTGGTCATTAGCTTCAAATCAAAATGTAAGTATGCCACAAAAAAAGTTTCAAAAAATAAAATATTTGGACATAATCATAAATACTTGAACTAATTTTTTTTTTAATAAATATTGTGCCCCTTTCAAACTACACCAAAATGATTTGTACATAACTCCAGTTTTGTACAATGCTTTCTCTATATACCCAAATCTCCACCACCATTTGAATTGTTATTAAAATAATGATATTGTATTGACTTTGTAATACTTAGATTCTTTTACATGTTTTCCCTTGATATGAGCTACCTTGTAGTTATGCACCAACATATTGAATATGTTATGTTCTACATTATTGTTAGTATCTTATAGTTCTTGCAAAATCAAGTTTAGTTGTTTTTGTCAATCGTAACTAACAAATAGTTGTTATTGATATATGCCTTCTAAGTGTTTCTTTAAATGCTTCATTGAGATTGGTGATATTGATGGATGGGTTGAGATGGTTTATATACTCGTTGAGATGGTATTCTTTGCGGTTTCCTCACCCCTGCATATATGAATGCTTTTTTCTTAATTTTCACCTTAAAAGGCTTGCATAGTTTTATTAAATTGATTGAAGCAAGGTAGAATATTATATGGTGAGAGGACATCTTTCAATTTGATGCCATTCCACATGTCAAACCTTTAAGTCCTCTAAGAAACCCAAAGCATTTAAAAAGGAATGTTCCAAGAACTTTTTCCCACAACAATTTATTAACTTGCTATCTAATGAACTATCTTAAAATTGCAGAGTTGTTCTATTTTTGGCCTATGGGTATTAATCAGTAAATGCATAATATTTATTATTATTATTATTATTATTTTGTTTACAAAAGGTAATGTTTTAGATAATCACTAGTCGGGTGGGATTATAGCATATGGAATTGCGATTCTAAAACGAGGGTATTGCTTGATACAATGGCTGTCAAAGATTCACAATCCTTTTCAATTCTGTTAGGTTAAATTCAATTAATTTGATACCTGTGTATCAGGGGATAAGAAGATGTGAAACAATGAAACTGGAAATCACTAACTTTCGCATATGCATACTAAGTTTATTCTCCCTACTTATCTGTCAAAAAAAAACACAAAAAAAAGAAATGACCGTTTTTATCATATCCATCAGATTAACCATTACATGCAACAAGTTGTTATGCTAAAAATTTGTAAAAGCCATTTTATGGAGAAGTATACATGAGTTGAAGGAACTAGTGCAGTGAACTTCACATCTCTTCTACGAAGATAGTGGATCACTGCTAGCTAGTATACTTACTTTTTGGTGATACAATAAGCATTTGACAATTTATTTATTTATTTTAGAGTAGAAGGACATGCTAGAGAGCTGATGAAATTTGCATTGATTTAAATTGGACTGTCCTTGAACTAAAATGTCTTGGCACTAGGGCATCAAGTTGCCAAAGTTGATTTATAAGGGTTAGACAATGCTTTCACTCCATTTAACTTGATGCTCACAATAATACTCTTTCTGTCTTTCACATATTTCTACACAAATTCTTTTATATGTTTTCCCTTGACATGAGTTGCCTTATAGTCATGCACCAATAAATCAAACCAAGACACAACAATGGATGCTATGGAAGTTGAAAATTCGAAGCTAAGATCCAAAGTTTCCCATGTTGAGCATGCTTCGAATAACTTGACAAACACATCTAACCACGTAAATTTTTAAAAGTTATTAATGTTTTCATATATCTATGTGTGTGTGTTTGTAAAATTAATTAGTTCAAATTTGGTTAGGTGACAACAACTTCTAGTCCTCTTGACATGGCAGCTCGACATCAAGTATGGTCCTTGTCATCGATACAAGATGCCTCTCTTACTCAGGGTCCCACTAAGAGCTAATCATATATATCACATTACTTCCAGCTTTATTTTAGAATAGCATGCAAAACTTGTCTTCCAATTAACTAAGAAATGAATATTGTGGACCTAAATTCCATTGTTTAAATCTAGACAAAATGTGCTACATAGTAAAAATCATGACATAACGAAACTTGTACTTTTTTTTTTCTTTTTTTTTAAAAAATTTTTCTTGTGAAGCTCCAATAAGACATTTCTCAATCATTTATTACTGCATGGACTCTTTCTGATTCCCTCAAAATCTTGCTTGATAGTAATTAGTTGGTTGTCATTTTTCACAATTACATTTGATTTGCATTGTTGAGTTTAGGGGATCCTGATATTGATAATGGACATGGTTTTGATTGCTGTTGATTGGTGCCTTTAGTTGTTATTGATTTTTTATGCTATTGTTTGATATGGTCTAAAAACTTACGGTTGTTACTTTTATATAATTTGTTGTAGTGTGGTGAACCAATTAAGTGATTAAATCATGTGGCTTGCTTATCTACTAGAGAAAAATTGTGATCATCTTCACTTTGGCACTTTATACTAGTTTATTTTTTAAATATTATTTATTAATTGTAAATATATAATTACTGAAGTAGTTAAATCTTGATTTATAGGTGAGAGGTATAGTTGTTCTAAAACGTATCATTAGGCCAACAGAAACAGTTGCAATCGGAGGACTTAATGTTGGACAATCTTCATTGTATTTTAAAAATTAATTCTGTTTGTGTATCTAATAACAAACGGAATACATAAGAAATAAAGGAAAGGAGAGAGATTGTTTGATTACAAAAATCAAACCAGAATATAAAATAAATAAATAAAATAGATTTTTATTTTGTTACAAAAACAAAATCAAAATCTGATTCAGGAAAAATAATAAAATAGAAAAGTAAATTAATTATTTACCAAATTAATTTGTTGAACAAGTTTTCTGATCAAGTTCAGTGTTTAACACTATGTCCTTAAGACAGATTCGTCCTCTCCACGGTTCTTTCAGATTATGGACTTCTATCTCCTAAGATAAAATGATCAACTACGAATAATTGCAGCACTACAAATTATTTGCACAATGAACACACTTTTGTGTTTACACTCTTGCTCACAAGAAAAAAAATGCAGCAAAATGCAGAGAGAAATTATAGAATATTTTGGACAAAATTGAAGTCAAAACATCAAATGAGGGGTTGCCTATTTATAGATGGAGTGGTGGCTGTTTAATTTGAATTAAACAGGTACAGATTTGAATGAACAGGTATGGTACTTGTTCGGTTTGAATAAACAGATATAAATCTGTTGGGTTCAAATTTTGAACAGATAAAACCTGTATTAAACAGATTTGAATTTGTCCGGGTAGGGAAAAAAAAACGGAGCCCATTTTGAATTCAATTTTCGAAATTCAAATTCCAAAAAATTAGAATTTAATTTTAGAAAATAAATTTCAAATATTTTTGGCTCAAAAAAATTGGTATTGGGTAGACACGCCCAACCCAACCACACACCACCGCCCAAGCCCAGCCCGCCCGCCCGATCGGACTGACGACGGCGGCGACGTGCTCGCATGTGTTTATTTTGGATCCAATGGATCTAGCCCATTTTGCCCATAACCTCCCACTATACAAAACTTGGGTGCCCTTTGGGGCCTACCCCAAGTTCCAACCCTAAGCCTTATAAACCCATTCAAAGTTTCCCATCAAATAAATGTGGGACAAGCCTTTATTCAAACCTTTAGGAAATCTCACCAAAAACACCATTTCCATGGAGCTCTCTTTGACTTCAATTTCCCATTCACTCGATAATGGTTTTGAGCAACCAAATATACCACGTGAATCACAACGCGACATAGAATGCGTTACCACTTAGACCTGCCAACTTTGGCTCATGGGTCCTATCTAAAATTTAGATCGAGGTTGAGGAAAAAACTGATTTTCCAAAACCATTTCCAACAATCCCCCACATGAATGGAATTTGATGACAACAAAAATGCAACAATATGCAGAATTTTGTCGAAAGAGTATAAATCGAAAATATCTTGAATCAGGATAGTAGCTTTCGACCTTGAACCTTTCCTAGTGATAACCTATCAGACTTACTAGCTAACCAATGGACGCGATTTTTTTTTTGCTTTAACTTTGTTAGTGTGGTAGAATATTTTATAATTTTGATTATGATTTGTACTGCAATATTAATAAATTTATATTTTTAGATAAAAAAATGATTGTGGTTTGAATTTATTTTTGTTTTTAATGTGATGCTCCTATGGTGGTAATATTTGTTTATTATTATGAAAATATTACAGGATGAATGGATGTCAAATTAATATAGGATGTGGAAATTAATATTCAATTTTTTATAAAATCGATTCAATTTTTACAAGCATTTATGCATGCTTAGTAGTGGCTTTTAAAAGTGTCAATTAAAAAAACATATAAGTGGCATTTTGTAGTAGTGGTAATAGCTTTGCAAAGTGTCACTAGAATAAGCTCCAATGGCATTTATATCCATTTAATGGCACAAATGAATTAGATTTAGTGACATTTATGAAGTTGTTAAAACTATCAATTGTGGCATAACAAGCGCCATTAAAAATCCATATAATGGCATTTTTTAGATTGTAAGTCTTCTTTAATGGCACTTGATAGCTTCACGAATAATGTCTACCATGACATTAAAGTGTCACTGAAAGTCTTCAGCCTTAATGGTATAATGACACTTACAAGTGTCATTGAAATGCCACTAAATCTTTTTTTAATGGCGTTTGATAGTGTCACAAATAGTGTCTATCATGACATCAAAGTGTCATTGAAAGTCTTTAGCCATGATAATGTAGTGACACTTGCAAGTGTCACAGAGATGCCACTAGTATCTACCGTAGCACGGGTATAAATAACACTTGTTGAAAATGCCATAAGACTAAAAAATGTCATTAGAAGAATAATTTTGTGACACTTTCAAATGTCACTAAACTAAGAAAATGTTGTAGTGAAATAACCATTGGCCCTTTAATTAGTCACGTTGTGACCCTCCATCTGTGATAGATCCACTAACACTCTGATTTCTAGTATGGAGTAAAGTGTTGTACGGAGCTAAGTGCTACACTATGGTGGGAGCCACCTTTAGAGTTCATACAAGCCACCTCTTGAGTCCATACATCTGTTCTGTTCCGTTCTGATTTCTAGTGTAGAGCAAAGTGTTGTACGGAGCTAAGTACTACACTATGGTAGGAGCCACCTCTAGAGTTCGTATGAGCTACCTCTTGAGTCCATACATTTGTTTTGTTCCGTTCTGTATCGTGGTTATGATTATTTTGTTTATATGATCTCTGTATTATATACTCTGTATTTTAATATCAAGCTTTGTTTAGCCAATAATTATCCATGGTGAATTTTATGCCCTTATGCTCTTAGTATAAATTTCTCACTTTGCCATGCTTATAGCTGTTTACCAATTTTCAAGAAACAATACAATTCAGAAATAACTTTTGGAGAGTCTTAGATGCAGGGCTGTGGAATAGACACACACAACACTTTTATAGTATTTATAATTTTATTCTTCATATGTAAATATCGGCCTTTTTGGTTTATAAATTTTGTTATAAAAATAGAAGCTCCAATGATTATTTTGGTACCCACAGTTAAATATTTTTTCGCTCGCGTTTAGTAATTTGTTTAAGAATTGGTTGGAAGTAACTTCAGTTACTAGCTATCACGATGCTTAACCCTTAGTTACGGGGAGCGGGTTGTGACAAGTGGTATCAGAGTCTAGGTTTTTAAAATTATTTTTATCAAAGCAATGGAGCATAAGACACATGTACAAATAAGATGGGGGAAACATTGAGCTAGATTATAGGTTGTATTTAAATTAAATATTTGTAGCAGCAATCATGGTATAGATAATTATGGTAATTAATATGAGTTATATATTTATCAGAGTATGCAGCGGATAGTTTACACATGACAAATTTCGAGGACGAAATTTTTAAAATGAAGGAAGATTGTAACAACTCGAAAATTAAATTGTCCTTTAAATTTTATGTTAGTATTATTTTATAATAAATTATTTCAAAAAATAATAATTTTAACTTTATATTATTATTTAATATTATTTTCTGAGTATTATGATATTTTGTTATATTTTTCTATATATTTTTCTTAAACTAAAATATACTAAAATACATCATTTTCTGCACAACAGCTAACTTGCGCCCCAAGCTTTCTTGCTCTACACGTCATCTTCACAATATATATGTAGCCATCCACCAATCATCACGAGCATCCTTATCTTTCTCTCTCCTTCTAATTGTTTTATTTTATATATAAAACTTTGAGTTTGGTTTGGAGTATTTAGTGGGTCGCAATAAACGAAAGGTAAAAGTTTGAATTAACATTAAGGTGAGTTGTATTATACCTTGAGTCACCACCATATATTTTATGTATGTTTTGAGTTACAATAATTTATTTTACACAATTTGTGTTTTATAAATTATATTAGCATTTTTAATTTATGAATCTTATTTTTTATAATAAGGAAAACCCATGGATATAACTGTTTATTAAAATATGTTTTGAGTAATTATTTTATAAGTATCACCACGGAGGTCTCATGCCTTAGGGGACATAAATAACCATTGGTCCTCTAATTAGTCATTTTGTGACCCTCTGTCTGTTATGGATCCACTAACACTCTAATTTCTGGAGTGGAGCAAAGTGCTGTACGGAGCTAAGTGCTACACTATTGTGAGAGTCACCGCTAGAGTTCGTACGAGCCACCTCTTGAGTCTATGCATCTATGTTGTTCTATACCGTAGTTATGATTTCTGGTGTGGAGCAAAGTGTTGTGCGGAGCTAAGTGCTACACTATGGTGGGAGTCACCTCTAGAGTTCGTATGAGCCACCTCTTGAGTCCATACATCTTTTCTGTTTCGTTCTGTACTGTGGTTATGATTATTTTGTTGATATGATTTCTGTATTATATGTCAAATGATTTTCGTATTATATATTCTATATTTTAATATCAAGCTTTGTTTAGCCAATAACTATCTATGATGAATTTTATGCCCTTACGCTTTTTGTATAATATTTCTCACTCTGCCATGTACTTATAATTGTTTACCACTTTCAGGTGACATGTTAGGGCCAGCGCATGGGGTAGGCAAGAAGCACTTTGTAGACGTAATTCAACTCTGACAATTTAATTAAATAGAAGCTCCAATGATTATTTTGGTACCCTCACTTAAATATTTTTTTTCCGTTCGCATTTAGTAATTTGTTTAAGAATTGGCCAGAGGTAACTCTAGTTACTGGCCATCACGATACTTAACCCTTGGGTACGGGGAGCGAGTCGTGACAACAATAAAAAAATTTAAGTTGTCCCTTAAATTTTATACTAATATTATTTAATTATAAATGATTTCAAAAACAATAATTTTAATTTTATATTATTATTCGAAATTATTTTTTGAGTATTATGATATTTTTGTTATATTTTTCTTTATATTTTTCTTAAATCAAGATACACTAAAATATAACATTTTTTGTGCGACAAAACACGTGCTCGCCAAGTTATCGTGTTGCCCAAGCATCTTGCTGCCCACGCTTGTTCACTCTATATATATATAGATGTGCCAATCAGAGAGCCTCATCACCAATTCCCTCCAAACTCTCTTACTCTCTCTCTCTCTCTCTCTCTCTCTCTCTCTCTAGTTTTGTCTTTTATATATATAAAACTTTGAGTTAGTTTAGAGCATCTAGTGAGTCGCAGTGAAGGAAAGGTAAAAGTTCGAATTAATATTAAAGTGAGTTATATTATACCTGGAGTTACTTTTATATATTTTACGTATGTTTTAAGTTACCATAATTTATTTTGCGTAATTTATATTTTACAAATTATATTAATATTTCGATTACATTAATTATTTTCTAAACTCTATTTGCTTAAATTGAAACCCATGGATATAATTGTTTATTAAAATGTGTTTTGAGTAATTATTTTATAAGTACCATTACGGAGATCCCATGCCTTTGGGGATTTAAATAACCATCGGCCCTCTGATTAGTCACGTTGTGGCCTTCTGTCTGTCATAGATCCATTGACACTCTGATTTCTGGTATAGAGCAAAGTGTTGTACGGAGCTAAGTGCTACACTATGATGGGAGCCACTTCTAGAGTTCGTACGAGCCACTTCTTGAGTCTATACATCTGTTCTGTTCCGTTCTGATTTCTAGTGTAGAGCAAAGTGTTGTACGGAGCTAAGTGCTACACTACGGTGAAAATCACCTCTAGAGTTCGTACGAGTTATCTCTTGAGTCCATACATTTGTTCTGTTCCGTTCTGTACCATGGTTATGATTATTTTGTTTATATAATTTCTGTATCATATGTCAAATGATCTTTGTATTATATACTCTGTATTTTAATATCAAGTTTTGTTTAGCCAATAATTATCCACGGTGAATTTTATGCCCTTATGCTCTCAGTATAATATTTTTCACTTTGACATGTACTTATAGCTCTTTACTAATTTTCAGGAAACAATGCAATTCAAAAATAGCATTTGGAGAGTCTTAGACGCGGAGCTGTGGAATAGACACACATAGCACTTTTATAGTATTTATAGTTTTATTCTTCATATGTAAATATCAGCCTTTTTGGTCTATAAATTTTGTTTTAAAAATAAAATCTCCAATGATTATTTTGGTACTCACACTTAAATATTTTTCTGCTCGCGTTTAGTAATTTGTTTAAGAATTGGCTGAAAGTAACTTCAGTTATTAGCGATCACGATGCGTAATCCTTGAGTACAGGGAACGGGTCGTGACATATATAGTTTGCTTGCTTTTTCTGTTGATTTCTGATTACATGGATTGTCTTGGTGTTGCTTATCTATGGACAACTATTGGTCATGGTTACTGGATTCGGGTTTGGTGGAGTGGTGGTGGTTGCAAGTTGTGCCCTTCCAAGAGGTTTATTTCAACTGATTCACATGGGTTTGAACATGTTGCTTGGTAGTGGTTGCAACCTGCGCCTTATTAAGTAATTTGTATAGGTTTTCCTAGTGGTCATCATTTCTTTCCGTTTTATGGTGTCACTGTCACTCTAGTTTTTTGTTCTATTCCCTACATCTACGGGTTTACGGGCTATGTAAGAGGTTCTATTTTCATTTTGCTTGGGTTGGTAGGGTGAATAGGGCTGTTGGTGTAGTGTTTTTATGTTATATTTTGATGTATTTGATGCCCAATTGCTGCTACGATTTTTGTGGTGTTGGCAGTTGGTTGTTGAATCTTGTTCAGGCCCTATATCCACTGTGGACATGGTGTTTGAACAGTTGTTTGGGTACAGGTGTTGTTACGTGGCTACCCTGTTTTGATATGGCTGGTGTTTCTTCTTATTGTTGGCTACATAGTGTTGACTACATAGTCTTAGTCTGTGTGTTAGTTATGTTTTTCATTTGTTTTGTTTGTGTTGGTGATTTGTATAGTTGTGGTAGGACTTGGGACATGTCCCTTGTAACTTTGTAATTTTTTTGTTTTTTTATATCTTATTAAAAAAAAAAAAAAAAAAAAGTCTTAGAAATAAAATTTATTAAAAAATGTAAAAAAAAGAAATGATAGATTTTAGCTCTCGTTTGGAGTTGGTTGGGATGTGTTAGAGATAAAATAGTCACAAAAAGCTAAAATAAATTTTTTTATTTAGAAAAATATCACATCCAAAACATAATTATTTTATTTTTTTTATAAAAATTTAAAAAATTATTCTAAATAAAATTTTTTAATTCTAAACTAAAATAATTAAAAAATAAAAAAAAATCAATCAACGTCCCAAACAACACCTAAGCTACTTGAAAGTTCGCGAGCAGCTTCACTGAACTTTACCAAATACCTACTTAGGATTGGATCCATTTGACTTTTGTAATTCGTTGAGCAAAACTAGCAAACTCCTCATTTTAATATAGGAGATATAATCACTTTTTAAAATGTTTTGTTGATGATTACGAGATCGGGGTTGGCCCACCACTGAGTAGTCCCATTAACTCAGTCAATGTTCAAACCCTTCTGTAATTTGATGAGATAGGCTTCACAACTAAAAAGCAATATTAGAGTTTTTAAATATTTTATTAAATGTTTGTTTTATATGAATGTAAGATTTATATGAGATTTACAAATGTTCGTCTCACATTTATATAAAATATTTAGTAGAATATTTAAAATTATTAACATTTTTCACAATTAAATTCTCTTTTTATTTCATTATTGGTAAATTATGGGATCTAATTTATGAATCTCTAACCTTTTGATGACTAAGAAAATTACTAGACAATCTTAGAATGTTATTAAATTTTTTCCTAAATACTCTTAATTAATGAAAAAATAAAATATACATTAAATAAGTCATTGTTTATTCTTAAATCCTTAATTACAGTGGCTCAATATATTTTACTCCTTAAAAAATTAGTATGTAATTGATTTAAAATATCAAGTAAACAATAACAAATGGTGCTTATGTTTAATAATTTATCTTTAGGTTTTGTGTTTAAAAAGAAAATTTAATAGAAAGCAAAAGAAAATGAAATAAAAGAAAAGAAAATATATTTTCTTCCAAACATTTTATTAAGATGAAATTTTGTAAAAAAGTAAAATTTAAAAGTTTAGCTATCATACATTCAAGTTTTTATTATATTTTTTTACAAGAAATTAAAAATTAGTTACAATGCTAATAATATGTGTTGTAAAAGAACTTTAATTTAATTTAATTTTTTTACTTTTCACCACTTTCAAGGTAAACAAACTCATAAAGATTATTTATTTATTTTCATTTTCCCTCTCTTTCTTTTTACTTAATCCGAAATAAATTAAGCTTTAACGAAAGAGCTATGCTTAAGACCCTCAGTCTCCAATTACTCCCACCCCCTCCCCCTCCTCCCACACACACGTGGGGGTTGATCATTGGATCATAAAATAAAATAAAGACCAATCACACCCCACTGGGGGCTTGGGGGTCTGAGGCATTAATCTTAACGAAAATACAAAAACTCTATTTATATAAATAATAAAAAAAACTCAACAAAAATAATGTGATAAAATCAATTTTATAAATAAATTTATGTATTTTATTTTAAAATAAAAATTATTGTTTGGAACGATTTACATAAGTGTAATTTTTGAATTTTTACAAAAAAATATTTAGAAAAATAAAGAGATGATATGACTTAAATAAAATAAAAAATGTGTTTATATAGCACACCCCACAAAGTGAATAATGCCAATAGTGGGGGTATTTAATAGTTGGAAAATGTTCCTGTATACAATGCACATTATATATAAATAATTTTATAAAAATATGTAAATTAAACATAAATTCAAATAAGTTGCACATTTTTATGAGAAAACTTAAAAATTGTTTGGAATGTATTACATTACGATATTTTTTAATTTTTTATAAAAAGATATATAAAAAATGTATATATATACATACTATTTTAATTCATGCCAATTAAGGCCTAGTTTGGGAAGACTAAATAAGTGTATTTTTTGACTTTTTATAAAATATGGGTTGGGTTTGGATTGAATTTGAAGTGATGTATTAGAGAGATGGTGTAACTTAAACAAGATGATGTGACTTAAATAGGATAATAACTTTTTAATTTTTTATCTTTTTTCAATCATGCCAAACTTAACCTAAATTCTTACGTAAATTGATAAATCTCTATGCAATTTTATGGAGTGTTGCAACTTGCATAGGGTGAGAATTTTCCTCAATTAATTTTCGCTATAATACATATTGATGTTGAATAGATAGAGAGAGAGATGAGAAAGAGAGAGAGAATGAGAAGGTTGGCGACGGCACCTAAACCTCAGAGACTTGCAAGCGATTCAGAGAACTCAGTAGGGGCTTCTTCTTCTGCATCTTCTTGGCCACTGTTCTCACGGTTTTTGGCTATTCAAAAACAGTATCACTAACTTTCAGTCCAGCTTACTTTTTGAAGTTTAAAAAAACAAAAAAAAAGCTTCCAGATCTTCACGCGTTTTCAAACCCGTCATCTTCTTTGAATTCGCAGTTATTAACCCAAGTCCATTTATGATCTCTATCTCTTCACTCGTTTATGGTTCGTTGGGATGTACTGTAGTCTGAGTCAACTAGGTTCGTGATTTGGACTCTTCAGGAACTCGTGTTGCTATCGATTGATCCTGATTGGAGGAATAAATCTAGGGTTTTTATTTCTTTTGTTGTTGAAATGATCGAGCTTTGGGGATTTAGAGATCATCGCTTGCCGATTTTGATGGTGATGGCGTGCTTGCTATATCAGAATTTGAATTTGTGTTGCTCTCTCAACGATCAAGGTTCGAGATTTTTACTTGAATTTACTTCACATCACATCATTTGGTTGCTGAGAAAGTGCAGGAAAATCGAAGAACGCAAAATTCATTGTTTTAATATATATATATTTTTTATAAATTATTTATAATTTTAATGGAGGTTTAGAATAGAGATGATGTGATTTACAGTGGATTATATTGTTTATGCGCAGGTTTGGCGTTGCTGAGATTTAGGGAGAGAGTGGTGAGTGACCCGTTTGGGGCTTTGTCAAATTGGAATGATGATGTTGGCGTTGGAGTAATCAATCCGTGTTCATGGTTTGGCGTGGAGTGTTCGAATGGAAATGTTCTAGTTTTGTAAGTAGTTCTCGTATTAAATTGATATGGTTTGCTTATTGTGAAATAAATGATTGTGCTCTTAATTATGGGTTTGGCTTCCCTCCAGCCCAATGGAGGGTGCTGTTGGGCCCATGGGCTTACAACAGGCCTTGTTTTAATAATCTAAACCGTTCAATCTGTAAAACTTGTCGAATACTAAATATTTGTAAAAATTCGCGTTGATCGGATATCAATAAATATATGATCAAATCAGTTTTGTATAAAAAAAATTGACAGTGAAAAAATAAATGGTTGACAGAAATATAATCCGATGAAATAACTATTGATATCCGATCAACGAAATTCTTGACTGGCATATAGTACTCGACGAGTTCTACACATTATCGAAACGTCCGAATTATCGAAACGGAACCGTGGTGGGCCTCCACGGGCCCAACAGTACCCCGACTGGAGGGAAAGCAATCCCTTAATTATTACTTACAATGTTCTTTCTAGCTGAGAATTGAATAAGGAAAAACACGCATGAGCTTAATGCATTTGGGATCTGAATTCATTCTTTTTTTGATAATTTATTTCATTTTGTAAATTATAAATCAGTTGTTACAATTACTACATAGGTGACTTAGTTTTTTTGGGTGTGACACTGATTTCAAATAAATTTTATAGTTTCTACTCTTTAGGTATGGACATTTTTATTTTGGATAGGTAATGATGACTTCTAATCATTCTAAGATTGGTTTGTACAATTTGCAGGAACTTGAAAGATCTGTGTCTTGGAGGAACACTAGCACCTGATCTGGGAAACCTGATCCACATAAAGTCTATGTAAGAATATATCAGTTTGTTACCTAATTGCCAATAATTTTTTATGTATTGAATTGTTCACTGTTCAGTTCATCATAGAACCATGTGTCCTTATATCCTGATTTTATGTATTATACCTGTGTTTTCTTGTGCATTTCTTTGCAGTATCTTACGCAATAACTCCTTCTATGGAATCATTCCCGAAGAGATTGGAGAGCTGAAGGAGTTGGAGGTGTTAGATCTGGGATACAATAACTTCAGCGGACCACTTCCATCTGAGCTTGGCAATAATCTGTCACCGGCAATCCTGTAAGCTGAAATTTACAAATGAATTTGATTTTCATTGAGGGCATCCTTTCTATCTGCTTGTTTTGATTTATTTTTCTTACTGTATTGCAGTCGACTAGATAACAATGACCTTTTTGATAGCACATCCCATGAAATTCACGAGCTCGTATTGATTTCTGAAGTTCAGGTAGATGAGAACCAGCTGTCTAATGCAGCACAAAGATCATCTTCCAGTGAAAGATCTATCTCATGGTATGTCTGTTCATTTTTCTGTGGGACAAGGTAGTATTTCAGCATAGGGGGTGTTTGGCAAGAAAAAAAATAGCTTAGTTTAGGCTAAAATTCACAAAAAGACAAAATAGGTTAAAATAGCTAATAAGACAAAATATCGCATCAAACCCATAATCATTTCACTTTTTTTCTCACAAACATCACATCCAACCACAAAAAAATCCAATCATCTTCCCAAACACAAAAATTTTAGCCTACTAAAATAGCCAAAAACTAAAATAGCCTACTAAAATAGCAACTTCCCAAACGAAGCCATAGCATGCCGTTGGGAATTTTACTCAAAAGTCAAAACTATCATGCAAATGTTGAATAACTTGATATATATTGTTGGGCCTATTCCCTAACAGCATAAGTTTTTGGGGATAATTGGTAGCTTAACATGATATCGGAGCTCAATTGGGGGTGGTATTGGGTTCAAGTCTCTCCATTTACATTTGTTCCCCATTTGCATTATTTCTTCTCTCGTTTGCATCAGACAATCTTTATGTTTGTTTGCATCTACACACGTGCATGACGAGGTCATTTCCTAACAGCTTTAGCTTTTGGGATAATTGGTAACTTATCAGCAAATTATGTCTCCATGTATCAGAAGTTCTATTATCAGAATTTTACGATTCAATTTGCAATTTTTTGCAAAATTAATACAAATCTATGGGTGTCTCTGTTTTGAAGTAAATTGCACGATTCACTATCAATTTACGATTCGATTTATTTTTTACGATTTATGCAATTCTTGAAACTATCATGACCAACATATTTCAATTCTTTTTTTCTCTATTTTTTTTTAGTTAAAATGATATAATACATCTTCTAATAGTGTTTAGTACAAAAATAACAAACATATATACATGATTTTTTGTTACTTTGGAGATCAGGGAGTTTACTATAGGATCAAATCAAATTGAGTCGGACCTGATATGTTTTTAATCATATCTTCTCATTTTTTTTCCCCCCTTAAAAGAAATCATAGTGTATCTTCTAAAGATGTTTAAGGTTAAAATAACTTGTGATATGAATTATGTATTGCTATTTTATTGAAATAAATATACTTCAATAATATACGGGTGAGGTGAGGTAATACTGAAGTAGAAAATAAGGATGTATGAAGGCCATTTTGATTCGAGGTAATATTCACGATTTGACAACTATGATCAGAAGCAACATTTAACATGGATATGTTGTCCAATCTAAAAAATAAAAACATGGATATGTTGTGTACATAAAGGATCTGGACATTCTTTTCATGTTCTCTTTTATATGGGCTTATATAAATCTTGCCCCTGAGTCCATCCATGTACAGAGCTTTCACGAAATTAGGATATCTCGTTATTATTGTGGTCAACTTCATGACAGGCTGCTTTTATTTTTCCAGGAACATTGCCCAAACTGGAGATGCAGTTCATCGAAGACTGCTACAAGAGAAACCTATTAATCTGCCGATAAATGAACCGGTACCGTCACAATTTCCATCACCACCACCATCACCATCTCCATCATCAGTGTCTCCATCATATTCCCCTACCCTGCCTCCTGCCTCTGCTGTCTATGCTTTTCCACCTCCCGTTTCTGCTGCAATGCCTTCACCTGCAGAAAACAACAGCACGCCCGTCAAAAGGTCCGGTTCAAAACATCGAGTTCTAATATTATCTCTAGCCATCGGAGGTACTGCGTTGTCTGCTTTGGTCATTGGTTTATTCTTCTGTCAAGGAAATAAGGTGTCTGTTGTCAGACCCTGGGCCACAGGAATAAGTGGACAGCTGCAGAAAGCCTTTGTAACCGGTAATTTTTCTCTCACAAGAACGATCTAAATTTATGCTTTATCTAATAAGGATGCCTACAAGGGCAAAGCCTGCTCCTTAGGCTGTGTTTGGATCATGAATTTGGGTATGAATTTGGAAAAGAAAAGGAAAAAACAAGGTTTCCAAATCCCTAACTAAATCCAAGATCCAAACACAGCCTTGACATCAGACCTCTAAAGTTACTCCTAGGTCAGTGTAAGGACTTGAAATATTTTATCTAAGCAATTATCTATACTATTATAAAGTGAACACCTCTTATGGTGTTGTGAAGCCTTTATTTCTTATGTTGTCATGTGTCTATTTTTTTATTTGAAATAAAAAAAAAAATAGATAGATGACGTTTGAAATATAAAAAAAAAATAGATAGATGAGAGGAGGTTTGAACCTTAGACTTATGTCAAATGAGTAAGACTTTTACCACTTAACTAGCACACAATATATGATAAATATTTTATTTTATTTTTATTTATTTGAATTGCACACGCATCGCGTGTGGCAACCGCTAGTTCAGTATAAATGCATCCCATTGTCTATGGTAGTGCAATGGTAACAATCTCACAGTTTCTCTAGTTTGAGATGTGTAACAATATATTAAAATTTTGAATCTGGTATAGCAATTAATCATTTTGATTCATATGTTCATAAAGATGCATGTTTTCTGATTTTTCTTCTTAGGTGTGCCAAAGCTCAAAAGATCAGAGCTTGAGACAGCTTGTGAAGATTTCAGCAACGTGATCAGTTCTTCATCAATTGGAACAGTATACAAAGGGACATTGTCTAATGGAGTCGAAATAGCTGTTACTTCAGTTGCAGTGGCATCTGCCAAGGATTGGTCAAATATTCTAGAAGTCCAGTTCAGGAATAAGGTAGCTTACAAATTAACCTCACCAAACATTATGCTGTTTCTATTCAGTTTCACATTCCCTGAATATTTCATTCTGCAATGGTTTCAGGTTGACACGTTATCAAAAGTGAACCACAAGAATTTTGTAAATCTTCTTGGGTATTGTGTGGAAGATGAGCCTTTCACTAGAATGTTGGTCTTTGAATATGCACCGAATGGGACACTCTTTGAGCATTTACATAGTGAGTATCTAACTGTTGTCTTCATTTTTATGTAGAAGCAATTTTGTTTATTAGCTAATTCTTTTATGCTTTCATAGTTACTGATGACCTATAATAATTTTGAAAACGGAGACACCTGAGTGGGTGATACATTCTTTGGTGCTAAACATGTGGTGTATGAAGACCATATAAATCTTAATCAAACTCTTTTATATTAAATATATGTTCATTTATCTATTTATTTGGAAATTGATTGTGCTGACTTGTTTTGGTGTTGAAAAGGCTTTAACTACGCTAAAGTTGAGGTTTGACTAATCCATATTGCCTCTAAAATCACTCAGTATTTTCTTGGCTGCTGTGGTGGCTATGATCTCATTCCTAATAGTAAAACGAAGAAACAAATGGATTACATTTGACTTTATCCCATATAAATATCTCATAAAAGATTTTTCTAAATTTTTGCATGACTATCATCTTTTTTACCATAATAATCTTATCACTTGCTGTGCTGTGTTGATGAGGTCATGCAAACGAACACAGGACAAGAACTTACCATGAACTTGCACGCATGAATGTTCTCTGTTTGTTTGTTCATTTCTTTTTTGTTGCATAAAAAAGAAGGTTGTGCCATGTTGTCATGCTCAGGAATATTTCTGTGTTCCATTTGATAACTGATTTTTTTCCTTGTTCCTTCAATTTTGCTACGAACACATAAGCCAAACACATACATAAACACAAAATACATGTGAATGCACAATATTTTATACAGATACGACAATACGACAAAACCTAAAAAAAAATAGGATACAAGTACAACTGACGGATATACATTTGTAAATATGAATATATATCATATTTTTTAATAATATAGTATGCATAAAGGTAAAACCAAAAATAGTTCATTCATTCATTTGGCAATATCAAACATTAATTCAGAGAGAGAGGGGGGATTGACCGTCAATACTGCTGCTTCATTTCTTCATTTCTCTGTCTAAGGTTCCATCCTTTTTTCTTCGTCTGATCATTCTATAAGTACATAAGTAGTATAATACATTTGGTATTTTTGTATTTTTGTAAGTTTACGGTTTAAACCCTATTAAAATCTTTCAAAAATATATTTTGGCCTGTGCCGTATCTGAATTAATACATTAATTCAGAGAGAGCGGGGGATTGACCATCGATACTGCTGCTTCGTTTCTTCATTTCTCTGTCTAAGGTTCCATCCTTTTTTCTTCGTCTGATCATTCTATGAGTACTTAAGTAGTATAATAAATTTGGTATTTTTGTATTTTTATTAAGTTCACAGTTTGAACCCTATTAAAATCCTTCAAAAATATATTTTTGCCTCCGCTGTATCTGAGAAATATCAGAAACTGAAAAAATTAAAAAATAAATTTTGGATACTCTTTAGATGTATCGGATACTTGTGACTTTTTTTTGTAGTATATGTGCTTCATATCATGGAGGTGATTGTTTTTTCCTGCAGTAAAAGAAGCAGAACACTTGGATTGGGTGATGCGGATGAGGATTACAATGGGCATGGCTTACTGCCTCGACCACATGCACCAACTGACACCGCCCATAGCCCACAAAAACCTGAACTCTTCAGCGGTCCATCTCACCGAAGATTACGCAGCCAAGGTCTCAGATTTTGGTTTCTGGAGGGAAGTAGCTGCAGCCGAGATGGAATCAAATCGAGAAAGGAATCTCTACAGCTTTGGCGTTTTATTGTTTGAAATGATCACTGGTAAGCTCCCTTACTCGGTCGACAGTGGCTCACTAGAGGATTGGGCATTGGACTATTTAAGAGGAGAAAAATCCTTTAGAGAAATGGTGGACCCTACTCTAAAATCGTTTCAAGTAGAGCAACTTGAAAAAATTGGTGACGTGATTAGATCTTGTGTACACCCTAACCCGAAACAAAGACCGCAAATGAGAGAAGTCACTGCAAGATTGAGAGAGATAACGGAAATAGGACCCGATGGAGCAAAACCTAAAGCCTCTCCTCTCTGGTGGGCAGAGCTCGAGATTCTGTCTGCAGATGCAAGCTAACGGGTGAAATTGTCCAGAGCTGGTAACTTGTACCTAGTTTAGGGCATGGTATGCTTGTACATAACACAGAAAAGGAAAGGGAAAATGGTGAAGGGAAAGCTTCGTTGTTTTGGTTTGTTGTTGTTCTGAATATGGCTGTGTTAGGATGTAGAAGAAAAGCATATATACTTGTGAGTTGATAAGTTAATTTTTTTTTTTTTCTTCCCGAAAAGTATCTTTTTATGTTAACTGTTTTTTTGCTTTCATGTTTTCCAGTTTTCTGGACCAGAAAATTCCTATAGGCTTGCTGAAAATTGCACGTGTTGGATATGCGTTAAGATCCTCTAGAATGTTTCCCTGCAGTGATCTGGTAAAGTGAGTTTAGTAGAGCGCGACACCTGTCTCACTAGAAGAACCAAGGGTTAAGATTAAAATCTCACAAAAATGACGTCGTTTTGGTGAGTAAATTTTTAAAAAAATTAAAAAACAAATTTCCTTTGTTTCAGTCATTCAACAACGAAGGTGAGAGAGAGTGAGAGAAAGGAGACACAGATGAGGGGGTGAAGAAAAAGCTCCAAGAAGTTGTGAAGAAGGTGAGAGAGAGGAGACACAGATGAGGGGGTGAAGAAAAAGCTCCAAGAAGTTGTGAAAAAGACAGAGAGAGAGAGAGAGATGAGGGGGTGAAGAAGAAGCTCTAAGAAGCTATTAGTCAAAAAAACTTCAATAAATCTAACAGATTCAAAAAACTTTAACAGGTCCAACAGATTCAAATTTTCCTATGTTCTGTTTTTGTTTGAAATCAAACAAAAGCAAATTGGGTCATCAATTTGTTTCACATCAAACCTCTCCTTGTTTCTAGTTCAGCAAGTTTCATGTAAATCTCCACCATTTGTTTCATCTATATATTGATAAAAAAAAGCCCCATCTTGCTTAAAACACACTCAATTAATTTTGAAAGAATAAAACTTTTAGATATAACAACTTACTCAATTAATTTTGAAAGAATAAAACTTTTAGATATAACAACTTACGAGACTAAGAAGACCAAATGCTAATGAAAGTTACCTGTTTAATAATAACTCCATGGTATGAAGACAACTCTTTCAAAAGGTATTCTGCTGCTAGTTTTTTATCCATGTCCACCAAACCCAGATTGGGTCATCAATTTTTTTTTTTATCCAGATTTGAAAAATTGAAATCAAATCCAGATTGGGCCATCAATTTGTTTTTTTATTGCTTTCCGACTAGAATCAAGATTTGGGTTTCATTTTGCACTGCTTTTTGAATTGAGATTTCAACTAATTTCAGTTTAAACTTTTTTTTGCCTTCTTTGATTTGAATGTAACTGCAAGTGAGAGAGAGGAGGAGGAGATAGAGGAGGGGTTGAGCAAAAAATCCACTGACGAAGGAGTTCGTAGTCTTACTGCCCCACTGCCGACGAAACCCATTGGGAACCCCCGGCCCCAATCAACCCTCTTCTTTTCATTTTTTAGTGAAATGAAGCAAGCATTAAAAGGCTTTAACCATTCCATTAGTATCAGTGTAAGATAAATAACATGCTAATCAGTGACAGTCACCTAAAGCTTCCCTTTCATTTTTAGCAAAAAAGCAAAGATGCAATATACATTGCATAGCGTGTGTTTGTGTTGGTCGATATTATCATCATGATGTCAAGATTAACAGATTAAAAAAAAAATGAATAAAAAAAAGTCCAATTTATATGTTAGTCGGATAAAAAAAATTACAATATTTTTTTAGGGTGCTCAGTTCATAAGTTATTTTTATAAACTTTCAAGGTTATAGATCCATGCTCATTTTGCTTGAATCCATAAGGACAATGTATAATTTGTTTGGTTCCATAAGGATAGGACTTATTCATAGAAATTCTTCCTTCTTAACATTCTCACCCTCTCTCCCTACAAATCCATTTTTTCTTCTTTCTTTCTCTCTCAAAGCAGCACCAAAGCTCCGCCACCCTTTCCGGGCACCGTCGGCAACCTCGTGGCCCTCCTCATTGTCGCTAGAGACGGCACCACCACTGTCATCATTATCACCATAGCTCTCCTCAAGCAAATCTTATACCCTCGTTTGATCTTCTTGGCTTATGGTGATGCTCAAAATTTGAAGAGTACCATCAATATTGTGAGTTCATATGAGGAGGAGGCGGAGTAAGGAGAATCAGGATCAGCGACGGTGTGAGCTCAAATGGCAAAGGTGATTTATCGACGCGATGAACGGTTGTAAGCCAATGCGATGCGTCGCTTCCTTATCCATTTCCCTTAGATTCGTTGCTCCCTCATGCCCTTTCTTCAGTTCTGTCGCTCTTCTACCATCAACTCTTTCTCTCTCTATCTATTTTCTCTCTCTATCTGTTATCTTCAGTTTTCTTAGAACCGAGGGCCATCTCTCTCTCTCTCTATTTGACAAGGCTCTTGAATAAAATAATATAAATGTTATAACATTTATGTCTCTTCGTGTTCTTCAGTGTTGTCTGTGTTTGAAGAAATTAGCCTCTCTATAATTGTATTGTATGCTACGGAGAGAAAGAAACCCAAACCCAATTTGGATTGAGAGAAATGGTGATAGAGAAAGATAGATGAAAGAAAGAGAAAAATGGATTTGATTCGGAGAGAGGCCAATTTTAACAGATAAAATAAAAAATTAAAATCAATTTGTGCAAATATGTGAAATCAATTTGCACAGATAAAAATTTGGACAAATGTACAATAGATAAAAATTCAATAGATAATAAATTCAACAGATAGAAATTCAACAGATAGATTTTTTCAACAGATAAGTCATATATAAAAATTTCAACACATAGGTGTTAATAGACTTTTGACCAACAAATGTCCTTATCACCAACTAATTTTTGGTCTTTTTTTAGGTCCTTCTTGTAGGTTTTTTTTTTTTTTTTCAATTTCAATCCTTATATATATATATATATATATTTATTTATTACAATCTTATTATAAAATTCAATTTTATCATTATTCCTAACTTCTCAAACTCTAATCTTACCCGAACCTAGCCACCACTCACTACCACCACTTTTTGCCTCTATTCATCCCCAATTCTGACCACCCTTCCCAGCTTTTCTCCACCATCCTCTATCCATCATCATCTTCAACCAGCCTCCTTGCCTTGCCTTTCCTTACCACTCTCATTCTCATCCCTATAGTCCCATGAATTGTTCTCCATTATGATTGGTAATTCGAGATTTGAATTCAATTTGTAAAATTTTGTGTGGATCATTACATATGGTCAATCCATCCTATCCAACCCAGTTGCTTTTTAAAGGCTTCAAATTTATATTTTAATTCATAGGCCACACTTAATTGCTGGATTAGATTTAGTGAAATACATATGCTAATTTGCTTTGTTTTGTTTGCTGCTTAATTAATTTTGTAAAGTCATGCTTGTAATAATATTTCCTTCTTGTTATTGTTAGTTGTTATCAATCTAGCTAACACTAGGAAGCAGTACTATGTTCTAAAAATAAGAATAGAATGGTGATGCCAATTGATATTTGATATTTTCAACCCTTGTCTCTCACTCACACTCATAGCTGTTTGCCTCTCTACCTGACAATCTGCAAGCACATGTGATGTGATGGGCTTGCTTGCATGATGTAATTTTTAGCAGATGTTTTGAACAGATATGGAGTAATTTTGAACAAAAATGGAGCAGATGTAATTACTGCATTCAATTTTGATGATGTTTTTGTAAAATTACTGCACTCCATCTCATTAGTTTTTGAATTCAAAATTTTAATTTTTAAATTAAAAAAACATCTGTTTTATAAAAAATCAGAATCCATTAATTCAAAATTTTGAAGTAATATTACTTTGGGAATTTTGAATTTTTACAAAACATCTGCTCATTTTTAAAACATCTGCTCAGAAATTACTACACTCCATGTAATATCCATTTTTGGAGTCGGTCTATTAAGAATGGACTAAATTGAACAATGAGACTGTGTTGTGCATGTTTGAATTAATGCTCAATAGGATTCAGATCAAGTTTTTGACCTGTTCAACTAGAGGGAGCTAACTCTGCCATTAGTGTAAATCTCTGTCCTATCTACATGAATGTATATGTATTTTTCCGTATTGATTATGCCAGTTAGAAGAGAGTTTAATAATACACGCATATATGGTTAGTTTTTTTAAAACTTTTTTTCTTAACAGACGAAACGTATGCATATGGTTTGCTATGTGAAATCTGAAGTTGAGGATGAGCAGAATCTATGCCTCTTTCATCCTCCATTGTACACCTACTTAGTTTCATTTTGGGCATTAAGCATTGCCAAACAATCTGGAGTTCTGGACCCACCAAAAATTTGTTATCTTCTCAAATAATTTTTACTCATTTTTCTCAACTAATTTCTCCATTCAAGTAAAGATTAATTTTAATTTTAGGTGTAATAAATGAGAGATTGTTTGAATTGTTTATTATTCTCAAATGATTTCTTAATCTTTCATTTTCTATCAAAAAATTGTAATTTATTGTAAGGCCATTAGATTTATTATTTTGATCTTTTTACTTCTATATTTATTTATTTATTAATTTTTGTAATTATGTAAGCTATATTAACCTTTATTTTTTCAATATGCATCAATTAGAAGTTTAATGACTCGAAAATAAAAATTGAAAATTGAAAATAATATATGATTGAGAAAAGATGAAATAATAATTTTTTTTACATATGAATAAATAAGTAATGTAAATTGTGGGAAAAAAATAAATCCATTTATTTCAACTTTAAAAAAAAAATCAAATAATAAATACATTGCTTAAAATAATAAATTTTACGTTGTTTATATAGTGTGGAATAAGTGGAAGCAGTACTATGTTCTAAAAATAAGAATAGAATGGTGATGCCAATTGATATTTGATATTTTCAACCCTTATCTCTCACTCACACTCATAGCTGTTTGCCTCTCTACCTGACAATCTGCAAGCACATGTGATGTGACGGGCTTGCTTGCATGATGTAATTTTGAGTAGATGTTTTGAATAGATATGGAGTAATTTTGAAAATGGAGTAATTTTGAATGAAAATGGAGTAATTGTAATTACTGCACTCAATTTTGATGATGTTTTTGTAAAATTACTGCACTCCATCTTATTAGTTTTTGAATTCAAAATTTTAATTTTTAAATTCAAAACATCTGTTTTTATAAAAAATCAGAATCCATTAATTCAAAATTTTGAAGTAATATTACTTTGGGAATTTTGAATTTTTACAAAACATCTGCTCA